TTTTTTTTTTTATGTGAACACTAATGATAAACTCATTTTGCAAAGCTAACAGACTGAAATAGCGGATCCATGCCAGCACCAGGGTGGCCCGAGTGCATTGCCTCATTTTCAATTTTCCGTTATAGGAGGAGAGCGGGGTGGATGATCTCGAGGCCCTGGATGTGTACCAACAGTGTTTAGGAGAACTACTGTTGGCGCTAGCAGGTAGATGAACCCCTTTTCTTTCCAAGCAAGATGGTTTTTACGCAATTATCGTACTTAACTGCTGTTGGCTACAGAGCCGCTCCGCTGGAGCGAAGGTTTAAGTCCTAATCTGATACGTCTGCGTTCAGAGACATCCCCTCAGACCTCAGGCGGCCGTGTGTGTTTGCACACATTAATTATTAGAGAAGCGGACTTGAGAGACATGACTATGAGAGAAATTATTTAAGAGTTTAGGGTACAGCCAGAAAATGACACAAGCCAAGATGTATCTGGACAGGGAAAATGATACGGGCTGAAGAAGAGAGACAAAAAGAACTTGGAAAGAGAGTCAAGATACAGAGATACTGAACTAGAAACAGAGAGAGCTTAGCAGCGAGGAATATAATAAGACTCAGGAAAAAAAGTGTCAGAGAGACGGAAGTTAACTGAGACGTGATTTAGAAAGTGTAAAAGACAAACTGACGGATTGGAGCAATGGACTCGGAGAGAGACGGGGACACTTAATACGCGACAGACAGAGGCACCAGAGAAGAGACTCTCTGTGGCCTGGTGTCCATTAGGCCCGGGCTCGTGAGCTCATCTGGAATATCGGCCTAATGGGAGAGGTGGGATAGAGTGATCCAGATGTGGCTTTGAGCCGAAATGAGACCCGGTGCCAGCACCCCCGTGTGTGGTACGAGAGCCCGGCCATCTGCTTCCCATTCCGTTCAGACAGCGCACTTCATTTCTTTCTCTTTATCACACACTGGAAACAAATAAAATATTTGATCTCGCTAATGCACGTAAACTATAGAGGATTCTTGGATTTCTAAAAGCAATTTTTGCCTTGAGGTGACTTGAGGTGATTTGAGGTGTGGATGCTGCAACCTCGTCTTATCAGCAGATCGGCAATATACCGGTCCGACCAATCCCATGCCATCTCGAGCAGCGGGAATTACATGGAAAAAAACGTTTTCTCTTTGTTTGGCTAAGAGCTCTTTGTCGTGCAGCTTCCCAACATGCCTTGCCACCAGAGAGTTCTCCTCCCCTCTCTGTCCTTCTTCCCCTTCCACGGGGACCGACTGTGAAAACACCGGCCTACATTAGAATCCACCCCTGAGCCCCCCCCCCCCCCCCCCACCCCCGTCTCTACGCCAGCAAAATCCAATCTAGTAGTTGACCTCCTCGTGAACAAACAAGGTGATTAGGTAGCGGACTCTCTCCTTCCTTCCTCTCCTCATTCATCTCTGTCTTTTTTTCCCTGTCCTTTATTTCCTCTCTTTTGCGAGCCAGGCGAGCCCCAGGGCTGCAGGAAGGAGCTGCTCCACAGCGAGGTGAGTGTGGCCTACCGGTCGAGCGCTCATGATTCGGAAGAACTAATCGTCACTTCCTCTCGGACCGATCACCCAGTGCCATCACATGACCCATGAGCCTTTTCCAGCTGTCACATGTGCATGTTTTGTTTGTGGTAAAGGCCAAATCCATCATCTATATTACTGTTACACACACACACACACACGCACGCACGCACGCGCGCACAGATCACTGTCCACTTTATAATTGAACACTTAAAAGCAGCTATAGTGAATTGGTTTTATATCCCCAATGGATCGCATGGCCACTTGTATGTGAAAAGAGATGCACGTAGTGACAACCAAGACAATTATCGCCCCAAGTCTAGAGAGTTTTATAACGTCTTTCAGCTCATTGGTTTGGTTTTTACCACCCACAACTTTACTGTTTTGGTTGCAGCCCTCATTATTGTTGTTTTCAGCCACAGCGGTCGGCTTTTTTCTTCTTTTTTTGAGCGAAACCGCCCCACAACCAATCTAGACAATGTTAGCGACTCTCTGGTGAACACAGTGTCTCACGTGTGCTGCTCAGCAGTCCGATATTTAACTCAGGAGTTAGAGGAAACCAAGAAGAGCTAAAAGGAAGAGTGACCACCTGAATGTTACGTTCATCAGATGAATGTATCTGATATGTAATGAGCAACTGCTTCCTAACAAGTTTGCCTTATTGACTTAAAAGGTGATGATATGTCGTCGTTGTGTTTAGGGGCCAAAAAATTCAGTTAATCCAGGTTTAAACTATATAAGTAACTATAGAGAAATGGCTTTTGTGTTCTGATCAATTAATTAAATAAAAGCTAGTAACAGTAGTCAACTTTAATAGAAAACCAACAAAGTCCTGCCATTTATGTTCTCTTGTCTTGTTTCACCAATAAGACCCTTTTTTTCTGTAGACTACATGCAAAGCCGAAAGTTTGATGGTCCAGTAAAGACAAAAAAACACATGCAAAGGACATGTGCCTGTCTGCCATTAAAGCTCCTAATCCCTTGTGTTTTGTGCATTGTTGTTGAGCCAACAACGGACACCAGTATTTCACCAACCAACCCCAGAAGGGTGATGGGGCTTTGAATGAGGCCTCATAGATCTCCCCATTTGAAGTTTTATGGGCGCTTGTCTTAAGTAAATTCAGATGCGGCCGCAATAATCTAACACAGCATTAGGGTAGCGGGGGTGGGGGACTCAATGGAAAGCACGTGTGTGTATGTATGTATGTGTGTGTGTGTGTGTGTGTGTGTGTGTGTGTGTGTGTGTGTGTGTGTGTGTGTGTGTGTGTGTGTGAGAACCCAGGAGAGGCAGCACATGCTGCCATGACTGGCCTCCGTGTGCGTTCGTATCTACTGTAGAGTACTCTTTAGCTTTTCAAAGCTGTAACTCAAGAACCCAAATTCTCATATGTGAGCCACGGGTTTGATGTATTCAGTGCATGTTGATATAAGGTCATCGTGGCTAAAGATACTACGTTAGTTCCTGTTGTTCTGTGGACTGCGTTTCAGTATATGTACCTTAAAACTCTGCAACAGTATGTGAGCCATCCTCACCCACGTAGATTTCCTCCACATTTTATTGCACTTGATGATTAAAGGTTTAAAGTTCTGTGGCTACATAAGGTTGGAGGTTAGGGCTGAAAACTAAAAACCTGTTGGCAGAATGATTATTTACCGCAACAGATTGGTGTTTTAAATGGACATTATGGGAGCCATCAGTCTTAGGTCTCCTGTGATTATAACCCTCAGATGGTACTGCAGTAATACCCAAGGGGACCGGCTTCGTACTGCAACATAGTGGTGATATAACTGGTATGAGGTGCAGCCAAGAACCTTCATGATCAGCAGCGGACTGAATACCACAGTAAAGAGCACCCTCAAGCATGTGGCGACGGCGATCGCTGCTCGCACATGTGTGCCATATGAAATGTTTTCAAAACATAACGGGGAAAGAAACATATCAGCAGAGCCGATCGCTTAAATCTGATTATGACATGACGTTTATGTCCCCATGCATTTTAATTTATCGTGTTTCCTGCTGCACAACACTACAGTTCATAGTAAACGAGCACAGCCCCGCAAATATATCTGGTAATTGAAAGATGTTTTTTTTGTTTTGTAGAGAATTATCTTCTAATTATATTATACACCAGAGGCCCTGAAAGTAAATTAGAATTATTAGTCTTTATTAAACAAGGACAATGCACAAAAAAATAATGAATGCAGCAGAATACAAGATTAGCCGTGGACAGAGACAGAGGTGCACACTCACTCACTCACTCACTCGCAGACGCACGCACACGCAAACAAGTGCTCCATGATTCTCCCGGCATAGGTAATTGTTCAGACAAATCTACAAGCATGCATCAACTTATGAATAACGGTACATTAATCTAGTGGAAATATAAAATTACAATTCATTACAATTAAAAACCTGAATAACAACAAATTAATGTTGACGTTACTGGATGCTCAATACCCATAATGCTTTACAGAAAAGCAACAAAAAACATATTACTGATACGTATGAAGGCATGAGTAACTACTTGCATTGGAAGTGAAAATTGTAATTACATTTATGGGAATTTTATGTCTCTCACCAGATTAAAAGCCTCATGACCAGAGCTGAATACCTCAAAAAGCATGTCAAGGTAAGCATGCATTCCTTGACACAATTTGTTTGAATTTAAAAATAGATTAGGGGTAAGATTAGGACTCCTTTCTGGATACTACAATTTCTTCTACTTAACATTGATGCAAACGTTCAATGAAGGAAAACCTTTTGGTCCCTATATCTGTATGCAATGTCCGTGTTTGGTTGTTAGATTTGGGTGATCACAAGTATGTGTTTGTTGATCAGATGCAGGAGACTCAGAGGGACGCGTCTCTGGACCGAGAACATCTCGCGGACTCCGTCAGAAGCTGTGAGTTTCCCTGCAGCGTTGCATGAACCGCTCCTCTGCTCACGAGAGCTGTGTTTTTCAGAAGCCTGCTGTAGCCTACGACTACACGGAGGTTTGGTATGGGAAAGGTGGTGGAGGAGGGGGGAGATCAAGTGAGGAATGGCCGCCCTAAAGTTACAATGAAATGTCCTTTCATTAAAGCTTTTTTCCCCACTTGTAAAATATGAGCCATTCTCTTGCTGTGCTGGCCGGCCCCGCAGGACTGTCTGGCTCTTTGATTTCATGTCAGGGCAGCCCTGGGCTCCTCCTGTCCTCTGCCCTCTTGTAAAAGCCCGCCTCGTGAAAGTGAGACTCGCTGCGAGCAAAGAGCTCCTATCCTAACACACGCAAACACCAGAAACAACAGCACACATGTACACTTCATTCCTATCACATACTCGCATGCAAATTAGTTTTAAATACTGTAAGAATCAGTGTTCATTCAGTACAAATCAAATTTAAGTAATGTTACATTTTATATAATGGAACTTCCCTGTCTGTACACTATACAAGCAAACTACTGAACTATATAAAAAGCAATATATCATTGACAAAAGTTACATTTTACTAAATGAACTAATATACAAAACTTGAACTAATATACACAGCCTAATTCCCAGTATTTTCTGGGTCTTAGCTCCTGGATGGATAGTGGATACCTAAAGCCCTGACAATATCCTGTTCTCAGCAAGAAATTCCTGGGGAATTATGAATTTTAAAAAAATAATACAAAAAAATGGTGATGGGGGAAGGGCCCCCAATGACTCTAGAGGCCGCTCAAGTTTCACGAAGAACGCGGCGTCTTATTCCGCTGCTGTTGTTTTAATAAAACCACACCACAGTCAGCCATACTAGCTGGCGCTGATCCAACAGCAGCTGTACTAGAGAGGGTCGCAGCAACGCCCAAGTCTGTCTGGTGACCTTAAAGACCGCCAAACAAGCAGCACTTTTTTTTTTTTTTTTTTTAATTTGCTCAGAACCCCCCCAGCATGCATATTTCCATGGCTAGTAAAATCATCATCATGAAGGTAAATGAAATGTGTTAAACTGGTACGATAGGAAATTGGGGGTTACAGTAGAAGTTGAGAGAAAGTAGGGTTTAGAGAAAATGTCAATTTATACCAACCGTTCACATTATACACAATGAAGCTAGAAGCTAGACTTCAAATTCCAATTTGCAAATTACTGGTATTTAACAGTGTTTAGTTTTGGATTCACTTTCCTTTGTACATGAAAATGTTAACAGATTTTTAAAAAATCTCTTGGTGTGAAAAGTACAGTAAAGCCAACGCTGAAATTCCTTGCATTCTTTCTAATGTCCATCAGGGGGCGACATTCGTGTTATTCCCTCAGTAAACATTATAAACATGATTTAGTAATCTCAATCTTTAGTTCCAAGTCTTCTTCAATACAGCATGGTGTTCATTTAGTAAGTTATGGTCCATTTAGAGACAAATAAAGCGGAGTATGCTTTAGAGCGGGGCTACCTTGTGATTGACAGGTCGCTACCACGCCGTTGTCCGGTCTGGGCGTTGTCTGCATTTTTGTCTTACTACATTAACCCTTTCACGGTGCGTTTTCATTTTATGAAAGTAAAATGTAACAATTGGGTAGCCTAAAAAGTGTTCGGCTATACCACTCTCCCGTGTAACTTCTGGTTGCAAAAAACAAGATGGCAACTGTCAAAAAGCCAAATGCTTCAAAACAGTAGTCCACAAACCAATGGGTGACGACGTGGTGACCAACTTCACTTCTTATGTACCATCTATGTTGTCATTTTGTGGATGGCGGATGTGGTTACTGACCCACAGAGTCGTCTTTATTATTCAAACCATGGTGGTACATTTAGAATTGATGATGTGCAGTAATCTTGAAAAAAAAAAAAAGAAGTGAATCCTAACGCATCAATCATTTGTGTTTTCTCAGCTTGCTGTTTGCAGTAAGCCGGACGGCCACCGTGGGAAACTGAGCTGGGACGCCCAAGCGGAGCATCAGACTGCCTGTCGGTGCTCATGTCGGACACAGAGCCTTCACCTGACCAGGTTTCTGTCGGGGCCAAACTAAACCTGCATCACACCTTAACCACCCAACGCTGTCCGGGTGGGATATTACAGTTGCCAGCCAAATGTGCCCAATGTTTCAGTCGTTGCTGGAAAGTTGATAATTTGGCAGGTTGAGAACTTGTGTTTATACTTTTTGAAGGAAGGGGAAAAAAAAAGAAAAGTTTGGCTGTTAAAATACTGAAAGTAGCTCTAGAGTTTTGGATTTGCACACTAGTGAATGTTAAAGCTACTTCCCTGCTCTTTACACAAAGTTGTCGCACCGCTTAGCCCTCGAATCCCTCCCCCTGACACGCCATTGATATGTAAATGACGGACAGCTTGTGTGACAATGGCCGCACTGTCATGGTAAAATGAGTCAAACAGAGGCTGTTGCATTTATTGCCGCACGAGAAAAAACAGTATTTGCGGGGCGCGCTGGGAAAAACTGTGAAAACCTGCAATAAACGCAATCAAATGGAAGCTGTGGCGTGAAGAAGCATCTCGTCAGTTCTGGACCGTCATGTTAGGTATATTATACGGAGGCCTCTGCAAACATGCACATACTCCCTCGCCCTCCCTTCCCCACTGCCTTTGCTGTGGGTGGACCACAGGCTCACCATGCTCTCCCCGCTGATGGAGCCCTCTCCACCACTATGAGGGGAAAACTGGAGAGGTGCGGCCTCTGCCTTATTTACACTGGACTTGCATTTTCTTAGGTTTGGCACTGGCCAGGTATGCGAGGGATCCGGCAGGGTTGCAAAGCCTTCATAACTAGGCCTCTGAAAAAGCTTAACAGTCGCTGTTGTAGGTCTTCACACACTGTTTTGATTTCAGAAAAGTAAAGTGCATGAATACCTAAAAGGGAGCTTTACTTTGCGTCTGCGGGAACGGGAGTCAAAGGGAGAAACGTTTAAATATGTCTGCTGGCGAGATTTTCCACACCACTGTGATGTTGTTGTTGTTTTTTTTTTATTTGAGTGTTTATACAGCTGTGATTTTATATCTTATGCATTTATTAAATGAGATATGCAGTGGAAAAATAAAACCTCCGAAGCCTCTCTATAGTCCGCAACGTCTTTTTGTCGAGGCTCGTCTTTCAGAGCCTTTGGAGAGATTCATGTGCCGCCGTGGGAGCAGCGCCGCTGGTCCCTCACCACCGTCATCATCTGGAAGGCAACTCTGCAGGAACAGCTGGCTCGTGTCCACAAGGGGGGGAAGGAGGGAGGAAGGAAGGCAGGCCAAGTAGGGACATTTGATAATTATATGATTCATGTGGAGGTTCTTCAAAACTGTGGAAACTGATTTTGAAGAATTCCCAGATCTCGAAGAACTGTGGAAATTACACACAGGAGTCATTACAAGTACATTATCTTTAATTGCGCTCGTCTCCTCTATCATTCATGATAGCTCCAGCTGCTTTTACAGCGCTACGGCAGTTGCACTTCTTCCTACTGGTTGCACTTTATTCCAGACAAAAGAAAAGTAACCTCAGGTGGAAATAAAGCTCGTAAGAAAAACGGAAAAGCAAAGAAAGTTAACCATTTTAGAAAGCTGGAGGAACGGCATCATCAGCTGGAACCGACTTATGAGTGTAGAGCGGCGGCCCTTAGCTGGACAGTTTGGCACGCTCGCACGTGCTAAAATATAATACATAATATGATGCATTATGCACTGATTATCAATTATTGCACCTTTAACAAAAAGCCTGTGTTACGATCTGGAGGTGTGGAGTTAGGCTGATGAGGGTGGTTACTAGGTAGGGGGTCTACTCAAAGATGCTGTCTCGTTGCATTGTGGGGAATGTAGGGGCAGGTGAGGCTTAAACCAAATGATTTTGACCATTCTTTTTTTAATTTTATTTTTTATAAAGTGTTTCATGCGAGTCCCTCAGCTTTATGGAAGTGCAATACTAAATCTCTCTTAAGGACCCCTTCAAAAAAGTGACTCCAAAAGGAGGTCAAATCCTGGGAAAATAATCAATGAATTGCTAACTTTTAAAAAATACGTCTAGTTTTCCTACAAGCGTGTGGCTGTAGATTTCCGGAGGTTTAAATGGTGGTTTTCAGATCTGCCCACGACTCACAGTAATGTTCCATACCCGCTGGTTAATCACATTCACCTGGCCTGCCAGGTGTAAATCACTTCCACACTGTCTGGTTAAAACAGGGAGCAGCACAGCCCGCCGAGTCCTGGAGCAACCGGGGGGGGGGGCATAGAACCACTGCGCAGCGGGGGGGGGCTCTAATTGGCCAACGGGGCCCATTCTGCTGGCTCAGCTTCGATGCTTTAATCACGACATGAGCACGTCACGGCCAGGAAAACTTTGGACGCAGTTTTGACCCCGGTGCTTGCATTGTTGCTTGTTCCTGGGAGTTCTGCCAATTCATACACCCCCCCCCCCCCCCTCAAAAAAAAAAATCCTGACTCTCTGCAACCCAGAGAGGGAGATTCAGAAATGGAAGGACCTCCAAGACCCCCCCCAGTCTCCTCTCCAAAACCACAACCTACGGCATTGTGGCTGTAATTGGCCTCCATTTCGCTGCAGCTCCATCAACACTACTTATTGCCCTTTCCCCTTCCAGGCTCCCTCTCTCTGGCTACCGTCAATGGGACAGCGGTCGAGTCATATTGGCACCGGCGTTGCCCCCAGCAAAGAGGGGTCTCTGTGTTCTAGACCTGAAGGGAACCAGGGTGCCCTTGACTCCGGCACCCCCTGCGCCGAAAAAACATAGAGCGGGTCAGCCGCTCACTGCGGCTCGATCGCGACCATTATGAATGGGACATTGTACCTACTGGGGGACAAGAGCCCCCTAAATCCCCGGGTCACTCCCACTTTGGAGCGGTGGAGCGAAAGTGTGGGGGGGGGAGTAGTCGGTGGGTTTGTTAGACATGTTGAATAAAGATAATTTAGAAAATGGGCTCCAGCACAGTGCTGCCTCTGTGTCCCCCTCCCTGTTTCCCTCCACACATTCGACTCCCCCAGGCTTCTCTACTCATGTTTGTTTTGATTTTGCTCCCAGAATCAGGGTGGAAGGGGGAGGGGGGGGGTTTGAAGGGGGCGGGGTGATTGTGTTGGAGGACTTTAAGATGCATGGCAATGGTTAAGACAGATTGGACCAAAACAACAATCCAACTACACTGGACAGAGTCATGCTATTACTGCAGCCCAAGGCCCACTTTGTCTTTCTCTATCTCGCTGTTTCGTTTTTTTACGACACAGTTGGATGGTTGGAAGCTCCGGAGGATTCCTGTGGTTAGCGAGAAAATCAGGAGAAGCTGTGGGGAAGTTATCTCCAGGCTGGAAGATGTTGAGATTTGGCACCTGTAACCCAAGTCACAAACTTGTAATTCTCCGTCACGTGTAGGTCTATTTTGTCACGCAATCCTGGGGGGGGGGCATCCTGACAAATACGAGGTCATAGAAACAGGTCTTTTTATTTTGCGTCAAGGAACAGGAAAGTGTTTGACATCGGAGGCAGGTTTAACAGAATTAGTTCCTTCTCGTCCTGCTAAACACCTTTTTTCTCTCGGGTCGTTAATGTTTTACTCTTGACACTGCACGTTTGCACCTTTTGGACGTGACTAAAGTGACATTCGCAGAGCAGGTGTACACCTCACACCTATAATGCTAAATGCCTCTTTTTTACAATTTGTTAATGACTTGTAAATACCAAAGCGAGTGTGGAACAAGCCCCAAATGGCTGCTTGCTCTGAAACAGTTGGTTCACTAGAGGTTTTGGTCATTAATACTAAAAAATAAAATAAAATAAAAAGTCCTTCTGATACACCGACTCAATTGGATCAACTCACGAGTTTTATTTACTTTCCCTCTGCCCTCTTCTAAAAATCATGGTAGTTTAATTGCAACTTGAGCCTAAATTTGATAGAATCCTGAATTGTCATTTTTTGCTTCAATGGAGATGGAGCTAGACACCTTAAATTCCTCACCGGGTTTCAGTTACACTGACCTCATCCCTTAAACATTAGACGGGAAGACATTCTGTGCTCCCTTGACTTGAGAATGACATCTTCAGACAGTAACTTCTGCTTTTGAGGCTTTCAGATACTGTTTATCACACCGTACAAAGTAATCTAATATGGTAGACGTATTACTGCACTCAGAGGAAAACCAGCTGATCTTTCTACTTCCTCTCTGTGGACGAATCACATCACACCACTTTAGCTCATAAACATTTTATTATAAAACTCAACCTTCCCACATGGAAGACACGGCTCTGAAGTATTTACTGCACAAGATGAGATGGAAAAAAAACCATAGAGCCTAAATCTTTTTTTTTCGCGTGCGCACAAAAACCCCGGAGCTAGTTCGCGTGTCCGTACTGCGTCGAAGTGACCGCGTTGGCTTACTTTACTGCATATAACTGTCAAACACGTACACATTCTTCATATTCTAGCTTCATAATTTAACGTTCAGCAACATTCTTCGAGACATCGTGACAGAACAAAAACAAAAGAACGATTAGCTTTGACACAACTTCAAGTGGCGAAGACACAAATCGGCGGCTTCGTCACAAGTGATCGTTCCCGACAAATGCTTTGTGTTTTTACTTTCACTTTTTTGATAAATCAGCCTCAAAGTGGAACAGTGGACGAAAACAGTGGGGCTGAAAGGCTGCTGGTTGGAATCTCTGGGCTATCGGTGTGGACCTCGGGTAACATCAGCAGCAGGTATGTTGACCTTTCGGCACCAGCAGCAGTCAGCTTTTTCCTGGCTTGTAGCTTCAGTGTGAGAGCAGTAATAAAGACGGGGGTCTTTTTGAAGGCGTGAAAGGGGGCAGGCGGTGGAGAGGAGGAAGAGGGGGTGGGTGGCTGTCTCAGGAAAAGTTCAATAAAACAATCTCACATGGGGGGGGGGGGGCAGACAGAGTGGCCCGGAAGAGGTGCTTCAGTTAATTTCAGTACTTGATCCCACAACCCTCGCCTCGTCCTTTGACTGCTGCTCCAACAAATATTTGAAGTGCGGTCGCTGCGACAATGCAGAGAGACCCCCCCCCCCTCCTGAAATGGAGAGCAGAGCAAACAGAGACCCGGGACGGGTCCAATGTTTGTCCAAGGTCTTAATAAAGCCACACTCCCAAGTACCATTGAAACCAACCAAACAAACAGGGAGCTACTTAAAGGCACTCCACTCAGCAACAAGGTCCGCCGTGGTTCACTTCCTCTCATCGTCACCTGGAACTACTTTGTTTTGCCAACAGGCTTCGACAAAAAAAAAGTGCACTTTCGCTCAGAGAGAGATGTGCTCGAAGATGATTTGCTATGCAAATTGTACCGTTATGGGAAGCACGCGCAAATCACTACTGTCGTCCTGCAACTAAAATGGAATGGCAGGGAGGCCTTGAGGGTGTATAAAATAGCTCTCCCTTATCCGGCAGACCTGAGTTCGAGTCCATGACGAAGCGTCTCTAAATCAAGTCACTGATTCCATCCCAACTCCAGCTGGACTCTTGGCTCTCAGGAGGTGGATTTTTCTCGATCTCATAAATCCAATAAATGTTTCATTGTCTCAGTACAATATCCTTGCTAGAGGAAGAAACAGGAGCGTCATGTAGCCGGGCAACCTCTGTGAAGCAGAGGAATGATCGGGAAACTCCTCCTCTCTGTCACCTTTAGGGTCATAGTCTTCATCCTCATACAGGTCCTCCACATCCGGCTGGTCTGAAATAACCATGTGGTCCCCTATGGAGCAAAGTTTGCTCATGTTCTCCTTCACCACCTCGCAGAAGGGCCTCTCCACCCCGTCGCAAACGCAGCGGTTCAGCAGCGCGCCGTTCGGGATGAACAGCATCTGCTGGATGGTGGCCTTGCACTTGGACGAGCACTTCCGCCCGTTGAATAGCTGCCCGCAGTATGACAGGTAGGCCGCGAGGGAGGCGTGGCAGTCGCCGTCCTCCTCGCAGCGCTGCCGGGCCTCCATGCAGCCGATGCCGCCGGCGTCGCTCGGGTGCCGGCGGGGGAGGCACGGCTCGACGGCGCGCTTGGCGCCGAGGCACTCCAGGTCCCGCGCGCAGTCGCAGGTCTCTAGGTCCGGCCCGCTGCGGGTGTGATTGAGCCGGATCAGCGCGTTGATGCAGTGGCTCGGACACTGCCTCCTCGTGCCCCTGATGTTCCCCTCACAGGCCGCCAGGTACTGGCCGTACGCGAGGTCGCAGTCGGGCTCCTCGTGGCACCGCAGGAGTGCCTGCCAGCAGATGAGCTGGGCATCCAAGGCCACCAGCACCCAGGGGAGAAGTGCCAGGGCGCCGCACCAGCATCTCATGCTTGGGATGGAGGTCTAGCTCGGCGACGTGCTCTTTCTCCACCAGCGCATTAGGACCAGGGACAACGCGGGCTTCACACTCCGACACACGGACTGGAGTTCATGAGTATTCCGTACACGCGATGCGTTCTGCGAGCAAGCGGTTCGTTACCAAGTCAGTCTAACAAAAACACGCTCGGTCCGTTATTAATGATCCCCAAAACCTAAGATAAGTTTGCCTCCTCCCGGGGAGCTTTGCAGCAAGGGAAGTCAGATCTGACTCAGGGGAAATCACCACGCGTGGCTGCAAAAAAAAAAAGAGAGAAAAAGTAATTCCGGGAAAACAAAGTCCGTTCATAAGTGGGCGACCATTCTCCACAACTGCAGCCCGAGCCCCTCGCTCCGTGCCACCGCGGCGCAGATCTCACCATCCAAAGTTACTGCAACACTCTCTAAACCGCAGCTTTTGTCCGCGACTCGGTTTGTAGACTCAAACTCATCTTTCTCGCCGTCGCCGGTCGCGACTCCTCTTTTCCCCGCAGCTCCGTCGCTTCCAACATCCATCCACGCATTCCGACGTTGTTGTTTTTGAAACTTTTTTTTTAGCTGGAAGAGGTTTCTGTCTGTCGCATTTTGCCCCGCTATGTGCGTCTTTGTCCCTCTTCTCGCTGCTACGCTTCACGGTCCGCCGAGCACTTTTTCCCCACAACACCCCTCCTTCTGTCGAAAGAAAGAAAAGTTTTCCTCCCCCCCCCCCTCTCTGTCTCTCTCTCATTTACAATCCTGGCCACCGATTGGTCGTCATTGAGGAGTCAGCCGTGGGACCCATTTCCAGGCCTGCAGCAGCAGCACAGCTCCTCTACATGAAGAGATAGCCTGGATAAGAAAAAAGAATGTTTAGGATATTCCTTGCATGAAACCCAGGACGCGTGTGGTCCCCTCTCCTCTTGTAGCAATAACACAAGTGGAAGGGGGGGGGCTTGCATAAACGCATTCCTTTGCAAGAAGCTCACATCTGCAACTTCACTGCTCCCTATTTTCAGCGCGGAAAAAACCCGAAACAAATCTGATCCCCTCCACAAAGTGCCTCGGCCGTTGAGAATTTTCACTGTAAAAGTGCTCGTTAATTGTCGCTCCCACCCCCCCCCCCCTGCCTCTCATTCTGCAGGTTTTTAGCCCCGATTGATAGAAGGGAATGAGGGTGGGGGGTATTTTCTGGACCGTTTCACCCCAATTGTGTGAGCTTGGCCATGCAGCGGCCCAGCGTCTCTCCCCTGGGCTGGAGATGTGTCCTCGCCCCGTGGCCTATCAATGGAGACAGGGTTTTAGGCGTCAATATATTTTACAGCGAGCCCCCCCCTTTCACACCAGCACTTGAGAACTACCAAACAGCTCAGGCTTTCCTGCCATTCAAATGGTAACTAACTTGATTTTTTTTTTTCCAAGTCTGCCCCCAACTGAGAGGCTGTGCCACATAGTGTTGCAGAAGCTCCACACAACCAGATGGGTGTCCGACCTGAGATCTGTTCGACTCTACAGTAAGGAGAGATACTGTAGGCCTACAGCTTCAGGTGAAACTGACTTCATTACCTAGAACTCACAATTTTTTGATTGTGTGACTCTATTTACAATTTAGACATACAAATATATTTTCATATCAGATATCATTGTATTCGTGTCCCTGGGGTTTTCCCTCAGTCTTGTTAAGCTGACACATTTCTCCATTTTAACAATTTTGGACATCGGAGGTCACATGATCAACAGGAAGTAACATCATTTGAGTCTCCTGAGGGCCAAGGAAAGACTAGGTAAGTTCTCTCATATAGTTTGGATCATATTATAAGTATGACTAACACTGTCAACCTAAATGTACAGTACTGTGTTGTTTTTCATAGATGGTTTTGGTAAACCATTTAAAGGTGCTAGGTGTTCTCATGCTATTAGCATTGGTGTCATGTGGCTATGTTTCATGTGTTAACTAACGCTATGATATAACAACTCAGTCCCATTACGTGTATGCGCCGTCTCCCATTTAGAAACCATGTCAATAAAATAGAATGGCCTGAGATTGACCTTTTATTTCGATTTTTTTTTTTTAAAGGATTTATTTTTGAAAAGTTACAACGTACAAATAAAACCGATTTGGTGTAATGGCTCTAAAACATGCATATGATTAGCATTAGACCTACATGTGTAAATAAAAGAAAAAAATGGTGCTTGTACTTAACACCAGGATATATAATGCAGCCCAATGTAACACCACAAATTAAGTTAAATCAACAATTATAAGTGTCACAGAGCTGTGTTTTTATGGGCTGTATTGTATTATTTTGTCTAGCTCCTGTAGATCTAGTGGCCACTTTATTAGGTACACTTGTACAATCTATTGTAATTCAATACAAAAGCTCTGCCGTAGATTCTACCTCCACTGTATTTTGTCTCCACCTGGTGTTGTGGTTGCTGCAAATGTCAAGACGGCTCCCCAAACACACAAAATTAATTATTCTAAAAATCTGTTTATTGCAGTTAAAACAAACAAATCACTGAAATGCTTTCTGAGACAGAATGATAGAGGTACTGTCAAACAAAGAACGAGAAGAAACTGCGTGTCATGGCAGCCATTTTCTGAAAAACGAAAACATTTACACAGGATGACAACACACAAAAAAGACATTTGTATATTATTATTATTGAATTATTATTTCAAGTCACACACACACAAGCGCATTCAAAGCAAAACGGTTTTCTTTATGGCTTCTGTTCCACCTATTGATATTATCTCACGATTCTAGTAGCTTTATTATAAAAGGAAGTTATTGCAAGTTTTCCTCCGCTTTATATCATTGAAATGTTATGAATATATTGTTCATCTTTCACATGACGGCAAATGTTTGGCCTCGGCTTTCATTCAGCAGTGGTGTGGCACCTACAGCAGGGAAATTACCGCTCATCTTTTGTTGCCCATATTTCCTCCAAATTAAAAAGTTCACACTTAAGATGCAAAACTTTTATAATCATAAAGCACCCAAAGGAGCTGACATTGAAGCTGACATCACCACCGGCACCACGGCTACAATAAAATCAAACACGGTCAAAAATGTAGCGTACGTGGATGTGACACAACATCAACAACATCCCCCCCATTCCCTCTTGCTTGGCTCACGTTTGACTAGAAACCAACACAGACAGAATACCGAGTTACAAAAGACACCACTGGACGCATTACATCGGCTAAACAACACGAATCCACCAGCACACAACACGGCACCACTGGGACTCAGATGGAGGAACTGGTCGAAGGTCAATACTGTGAAGACCTCGGGGAAGTTGGCGGAAAAAAATGGAGCGAAGAGCGACCCGCTGTCGACGGCACGGGCAAACAGCAGATATACGTTTTACGTCTCACACAACATAAATACTTGTATGTGGATTTATACTCACGCCACAGTTACACATGTTGGACATATTTGGGGCCATTTTCCTTCATGTTGGTCAAAGAGTTTTCAACGAAGGCTTTGCCATACGACTTCTAAAGCATTTACACGTCTTTCATCTGAGCAGCTTTATTTTATTTTTTTAAAGGGACAGTTCACCCTAATATCAAAAATACATACTTTGACTTACTTGTAGAGCTATTTTTCAGTCTGCCTAGTTTTGGAGATATCGGTCGTAGAGATGTCTGCCTTGTGGCGCTTGAAGGGCCAAAAAACATACTTGGAAAAACTCAACACACACTACAGGTAAGAGGCAATATATACGTGTTTTTAAATGTTTGGGGTGAGCTGTCCCTTTAACCTCTGGATGCAGCACAAACACAGATTTGCTCCCTTTGTTATTGATGCTAAATTCAATCTCGGGAGGACAGTTATTGTACACACTTAAACTGTAAATTCAAATACTACATACAAAATGCAGCACACAGTTTTGTCCTGCTCACTAAATATTTGTTGCTCTTAATGAAACTAAAAGTAAGAAATCTACTGCAACAAACAAAAAGGCCCGTCCTCATAAAAAAGTAGCTTACAGATGTTGGAGCTCTGGAGAAGACAACCTTGTACGGACGTCCAAGGCACGCTGAAGTACAGAAAAAGCTAAAAAAAAACAACAACTTTATAATGATATGTCTAGGAAAAAAAAATAAGATGAATGCAGCTCACAGGGAGCTTTAATCAGGACACCAGGGGGCCAACATCAGTAAGCTACTTATGACAAAAATCAGCCTCAGTTGTTGCTCGTAAATGGTTTTGTACGTGGAATATAAACCACACACCTGAAACCTCTCTTTAGAATACCATTGTGTTATCACTGGACACGTGAGGTACAGAGAGCCAGGGGCAGGTTAGGGAATGAAGGGAGCAAAGGATTTAATAGATTCATATTTCTCAGAGGAGGAGTTGCTCTAAAGGCAGAATTAATCTCGTCGGTTAAATCTCAATGGAAAGAGCCGAATACATCTTTTAGAGTGCAAGTTGGCTAATTTCAAGAAAAATGCGGATGACAGTTGTGACTGTTAAGAAGTCTGAAGGTCAACAGGAAAGCTAACTGAACTAATAAGACGAACCCTTTTCTTTTCTGCAGGCTCTCCGTCTACAGTTACTATGTGGCTCTGCTCACTGACACTCCTCTTAAAGCAATAAGGATACGTCTGCCTCCAGAGTATAGCTCTGCCTCTGAAAAATATTTGCACAAGTAAAACTCTAATCTCCTGGGACTTGAGAGCTGGATGGATCACATGAGACTGCAATTCTCCGTCTGCTTTTTGAGGTCTTCCAGAGTGGCCTGGGCTTTGTCCTTCAGCTGGTCGATGTCCACGTTCTGGATGTTGGACAGCTGGCCCAGGACCGACTGCTTGTGCGTCTCCTCCTGGTTGTCCTCGGCGATCATCTTGGCCAGCTCCGTGGGCAGCACCACGTCGTCCCCCGCCTGCTGGATCTGGGTCTCGTCCATCTCGTTCTGGGGTAGATACCCAACAGGACGGGGGAGAGAGAGGGACAAGACGTTTAGAACCAAAAGGTTTTCTATCCCGTTGTACTTTAGAGACATGTAGAGTACACGGCTGCGAGGATGTGAAGGTTTTTACAAAGGCAGTGATACGAACTGCCCTTCAGTCCAAATATGCATCGGTTTTCTTTTACCAAAGCAGAGCTGGAGGCGTTTACCTTTGGTAGTCTGTACTTATCCCGGAAATGACTTCTAATGGTGGCTCTCTCTGCTTTCTTCTGGGCAAAATTGGCTTCTCGTTCTTGTCTGCAAGAAAGGAGGAAAAGTATTGTTGTGGGGCAAAAATGACCAACTGTCACTGAACATACAAATGTAAACCAACTCAGTTACCAAACAAACCCGGCGAAGGAATGTGTGAAGCTTCGGAATAGCGACGGTAACTTCAAGAACCACACATTCAAATCAATACCCCCCCCCCCCCACCAAATGTTACAAACAAACCGCACTTAGCATCACCGTGTCCTCCTCTTAACGCTGGTGACAGATTGTAGAGCAGCGGCAGTGAAATGACGGAGGTTCTGCTTCTGTTTTGAAGCTCCAGACGCATGCATGCTCCCTAGCTGCACTTAAATGTCTGACCTTCTGGGCTGGAAACCCACAAAAGAGCTTCTCAACTGTCGGGCAGTTTAAGGCAAAAAAAAACAATCCAAGAACTGAAAGATGACTCTCCAAACTTCTTCTTAATTGCCTTAAAAACTCACTATTGTACACCACCCAGCCTACATTATGTGATGCCTCCAGCAGAGGGCAGACTTTAAACTGCTGGCAATGCTCTCTCCACTCTGTCACTGGAATATTTATGGCTTTAGTGTAGTTCATAATTGCCTAAATTTCCACATGTGCTGGAATGCCTCTAAAATCACGAGTCAACAAACGTGACACAGTGCGTAGCAAACTTGCTTGTACGGCCCGAGGGCCAAACACAGCACGGGTACGGTGACGAAAGGCCGCATTTCATCAGAGTCCACGAAGGTGCTTGTAACAAAATAAAACACAATAGATGATATTCTTCAAAAGGAAATGGTGGCAGAGGTTGCACTGCACGTGTATCAGTAGCATGATCTAAAGGCAGGGATGGGGGGGGGGGGGGGGGGGTGCTGGAGGACCAGGGGCATGGTTTTTGAGAAGTGTTTGCACCCAATGTGTCAGGAGGAAGGTCGGTCTATCTGGAGATGCAGCGTTTCATGGCGCTGTCCGTGCGAGTTCACTTTGTGTTAACATGAGCGGGGAGCCGAAACGGGTTCCCGTGCGGCGCTCGCTCGCAGCCAATGAGCGGAGCTCTGTGTCTTCCCCCTCTCAAGGGTGTCGGGTGACCTGGGTTGTCAATGCGGCCCCCGGGTTGCTGAGGGTGATAGAACGTCTACATGTGACACCTCTCCACTTCCTCCGCTCCAGCCTCGTTCCGCTTTAATCGGAGCATTATGGGCTTTAGCTGATCTACAGGCTGGTGTTTAGCACCTCGCACTAATAAGTCACTCCCACTGAAGGTCACACATGACGGCAGAGCATTAAGCATCTCGCCATGCCTCCTGTGGAGTTCCGTGGGCCGAGGTGAGTGTTAACGCTGCGTTAGGACTTCGCTTCCCACTCGAAATGCCTACATGCTAGTTTGTGTTGATTGGAAGGAGCCGGTGATTGGAACCAGTTGGATACCTTCTTTCCTTTCATGTATGTTCCTCTCAGTGCAGTGCTGCTTTAGGACGCCTACAATTTGTGTCACAACTGAAAATATATAACCAGAATCTACCGGGCTATTTTCTGTAGAACTCTTTATTCCACATCATTAATCTATGGTATAGCTTATTCTACGAGCAGGACAACGATGGCCTGATGTGTGAGTCCTGCTCTGAGGGAAGCTTCACGCTAATCAATAGTGAGTTGCTGTCTGCTGGGTCAACTCTTGTCTGCCAAAATGACCTTGTTGTTACTTCACATTGCCTGCCTTGCCTGCCTTGCCTGCCTTGCCCCCCCCCCCCCCCCCCCCCCCCCCCCCCCCCCCC